CCCGTCCTCCCTGTGGGAGCCGGGGGAGTTACAGTGTAGCTGGGATCTGGCCTTTATGTAACTTGGGTCACGCTCGTTCATCCGTCCATTCATTCCCTGGCCCGATGAGCACAACCCCTTGGCAGGGCCCGGCTGGAGGGCAGGGGTGTTGTGGGAGCAGGAGGGGGGCACCTGCCCAAAGCAGGCCCGGAAGGCTTTGGGGAGAGCAAGGCTCAGTGCTCCTGGCAGAGGAGTCGGCCCCTTAGGGAGAGGGTGTCAGAACGTGACCTTCTTCTTCTAAGGGGGCCCCCTGTGTAGAAAGTACCCAAAGGTCCCATCCTTCCCCTTCAGACCTTAAGGGTCCCCTGAAGGGGCAGTCCCACCCCACCACAGGCCTGTGGAGGAGAACAAGTTATCCAGAACCTTCTTACCGGCCCTGACTGGGTGGTGGCTGCTGTAAGCTGCTTTGCCCCCAGGCCAAGGTGAGGTGGCCAGTAGAGGGCCTGGTCTGTGGCAGGTGCTCAGATCCCAGGGGCTAGGAGGGTCGGAGGCCACCGAGGGTGAGGGTGGCTGAGGGCTGTGATCTAGGAGTGTACCCAGGGAAAGGGGGCTGGGTCCCCAGTCGGGGACCTCCCTTCCCCACCCAAGAAGGTGCCCCATATACCTGGACCCCAACCAGTCCGGGGAGCTCCTTGGGGACAGGCAGGGGAGATGTCCAGTGGCCCTAAGTAGCCTCTGTCCAGAGCCTCTGCACCACCGTGGCTGGCCTCAGTGACCAAGGTCAGAAGACGGTTCTCTGTGCCAGTTTGCCTGTGAACACACATGTGTGCGCACACACTCCCAACCCAGTTCGGGGGCCGCCTGTAGCAGAAGCCTCAGGTGGAGGGTGGGCCAGATCTCGGAGCTTTGGGGTTCCAGATTGTCCTCTGGGGTACAGGCAGGGCAGGAGAAGACCTGGGGGCTCCAGGTGCAACACTCCCAGCCTATTTGACCATAGTGACACCCCTTTTCCCCCAGGGAACCAGGGTCCTCTGAGGTTTTACTGGAACCAGGATTCCTGCTACTCCCCGAGCATGGTGACCATTGAACTAGAGATGTCCCAGGTCCCCCCGCCATTAGTCTATTCCTTGGGTCAGAGCTTCCCATGTGAGGCCAGCCAGCAAGCACGCACTGCCGTCCCAGTGTGGGGCAGGAAGGCTGGCCCTGCAATTCAGGGGACGTTCTGTGTGCGTGCTTCCCGGAGGCAGAGACAGGAACTGCTGTCCTTCCGGGGGCTCTCGAGCCCAAGGCCTCCAGGTCAGCGAGAGCCTGCCCCTCGGCTGGCGTGATGAGGCCGACTGGGCAGGACGAGGTACTTCAGCCCTGTGGAGGGCAGAGCAGAGTTGTTCGGGGCCGGCCAGGCTGCCGGGGACTCTTCCCTTGGCTTCCGGGCTGGAGGTCCAGTCCCCCGACCTCTGAGAAAACACAGGTCCGGCAAAGGACCCGCATACCAGCAGGAAAACGCAACAATGTGGGCCCTGAGTTACAGGGCCTTGCTTGTCCAGTGGCCGCGGCAGGGACAGTGAGAGAGACCAGTCCCAGTGTATAGGGCGGGCAGGGGTGAGGGCGGGCAGGGGTGGACCTGCCAATCTGGGGGTGACCGGTGGCCAGCCCACCCCAGGGTTGCCGCAGGTGCGACTTCTGCCAGTCCTGGGATGGCCAAAAGTTCCTGAAAACATGCCCCACTCCTTCCCCTGACCTCCACGGCCAGAACAGGGGCTGGGCCTAATAAGGGGGGCAGGGGTGCCACATACCTGAGTGACCACTGCCCAAGGGGCTGGCCTGTCACAAGGTGCTTCCACCCATAACGGCCAGACTGGCTTACGCTAGCACAGGACACTGAGCTCTAGGCCCACGGAGACCGAGGTCATAGGCAAGATGCCTCGGGGCCTACGGTCACAGAGGCATCCAGGGCAGACCGTGTCCAGCGCAAGTCCTGCCTGGCCCACGCCTGGGGCGGTGGGGGGAGGGCGCCATTCCCTGGAAGGATCCAAGGGGGCGGGCCTGGCTGGGAAGGGTGTGTACAGAAGGGAGTTTGGGGCCAGAGGAGATGCAGGAAGGGCGAGGTCTCTCACATGCAGGAGCGGCGTGGGGCCGGGGGCGGGGGGTGACATGAGTGAGGCCCCGAGGGGGCCCCAGAAGCTCGGGAGTTGTGTCCATCGGCAGGTGAGCGGGCACAGGAAATGCAGTGGAGTGTCACCAAAGCACTGACCTGGGGGCGTGCTCAGCGAGAGAAACCAGACCCGTGTGAGGGACCACACTGCCCCCAACCATAGGGACATGGTGGGGGGGATGGGCAGCGCCTGCCGAGGGGGCGCAGGGCCTCTTTCTGGGGTGCTGAAAGTGTTTTGCAATTAGAGGTGATGGTTGTACAACCCTGTGGATGTCCTTACAAAACCCTGAATCATGCGTTCTAAACAGTGACCTTTATGGTGTGTGAATTATGTCTCGGTAAAGCTGTCCAACTTAGTAATCAGGTAACTAATACTTTAATGTGATGTGTTAAAGAGTCAGAATCGCTGAGGGGAGCCGTGATGAGCAACAGCGCCATCCTGATTCACGCGACAGCCGGAGCAGAGCTGCCCGGGGGCCTGAGGCGAGGGCAGGCCCAGGACTGTTTGCCTGTCGGCCTAGTGCCCCTTCAATCCACGCCCCCGACGCGCACCCTGGTCGGCGCATGCCAGGCACTGGGGAGCCCAGGAGCCTGGCCAGCCTGAGGGTGGCAGCCTCCTTCGTGCCCCCACCAGGGACCTCCGGGCCCCTTGATTAGGCCCCTAATAAAGAGAGAGAGCCTGCTGTGCATTCGGCCTGGGTCCTCACCTGAGGCTTGGGGAGAGGGTCACATGAAGGGACGGGCCTGAGGTGGGAGGGGGGCAGGAGGAAGCAGAGAGCACAAGGGGTTCTGGGCAGGGGCCTTGGTGAGTGTCCGGGAGCCACCCTGACAAATGACCACGACCCGGGGCCTTAAAACAGCAGAAATGGTCTCTCACAGCTCTGGAGTCTGGCCCTGAGCTGTTGGCAGGCCCGTGCGCTGGAAGGCTAGGGGAAGCGCCTCCTGCCTCTCCCAGCTCCTGGTGGCCCAGGTGGCCCAGGTGGCCCAGGTAGCCTGCGGCCCGCGGCCATGTCACTCCATTCGCTGGGTCTCTCCTGTTCTCATAAGGACCCAGCCAGCGGACTGAGGGCCCAGCCCTATCTAGTATGGCCCCATCCCAACAGTATGGCCCCATCCTAACGTGCGCACATTGACAAAGGCCCTATTTCCAAACAAGATCCCATCGATAGGTACCAGGACTAGGACACGGACATACCTCCTGGGGGGCACCATTCATCCCACTACAGAGGTGAAGGACACAGGGGCAGGGCCAAGGGCACAGGGTCGGCGTCCATGGAGCGCCTCCTATAAGAAGAAGACACACGAGCTCGCCTGGATTCAGCCCACAGGGACACTGTCATCCCAGCTGGCCTGCTCTCTGGCCTGCTCAGACTTCGGCAGCGCCCCAGGGACACTCTGCTTGCTGGGACTTCACCCCCGGAGGGTCAGCGCACCCACACCCCAGACCTGCTGCCTGGGGGTAGGGGTGGGGGTCAGGTGCTCCTATTGTCCCCACCGGCCCGCCCCCACCTGTGGGGGGGGGTGCCGCTGAGAAGGGGATGGGCCTGTCTCCCGCCCCCAGAACCCTCCTCCACAGGCCTGCCCGCCACAGCCGTGCTTGGCAGGGTGACGAGGAGAGGGGTCCTGGCATTTGCCAAAGAGCCCTCAGAGGGCAGAGGGCAGCCACCAAGGGTGCCAGTGCTCAGAACCAGCCAGGCACCCCCGGCAGCCCCAGGGGGTCACGCCGGGCCCTGGGAGGCGGCGGAGGTTCGAAGGAGCCTTGTCCTTCCGTCAACATGGCTCACTGAAGAGGAAGGGCTAATTGGTCTCACACTCCTTGGGCTCAAGGCAGGGCTGGAGGGCAGAGGGATGGGCAGAGAGCAGGCCAGCTGGGATGACGGTGTCCCCAGAGCTGCGAGGTGGTTCCCGTTACCCTCCAGGCCAGCTCAGCCCAGAGCAGGGGCCGGGGCCGCGGGCACAGAGGTGTGGCCCAACTCCGAACAGAAACGAAACCAGAGGGGCTGCCAGGAGCCGGCCATCTGTCGGTTCAGGGCAGGTGCCGGTTCCAGGGGCCTAGAAACTCACACCAGGCTCCCCACCCCTCATGTGCGGCCCAGGCAGAGGTGGACTCAGACCAGGCCTTCCAGAAGATGCCTCCCCCAGAGGGCCAGGCGGAGCGGGGCTCAACGCTGGGCCAGTCCCACTGTGAGACCCTCCAGTGCTGCTTATTTATGTTTTCTGTTTGATTTATGCTTTATTCGAAGCAACGTCTCCCATTCCACTTTTTTTTTTTTTTTTTTTAAGATTTTATTTATTTATTTGACAGAGAGAAAGACAGCGAGAGCAGGAACACAAGCAGGGGGAGTGGGAGAGGGAGAAGCAGGCTTCCCACGGAGCAGGGAGCCCGATACGGGGCTTGATCCCAGGACCCTGGGATCATGACCTGAGCCGAAGGCAGACGCTTAACGACTGAGCCACCCAGGCGCCCCCCATTCCACATTTTTTTAATTGAGGTGAAATTCATATAACATAAAACAAACGATTTTAACGTGAACAATTCAGTGGCATTTAGCACACTCAGTATGTGCAACCATCACCTCTATTCAGTTCTAGAACATTATCCCCACTCCCAAACCCCAAAGCTGTTAAACATGAATTCCTCACTCCCTTCCCCTCCAGCCCTCGGCAACCACCGACCCGCTTTCTGTCTGTATGGATTTGCAAATTCTGGGGATTTTATACAAATGGAACCAGGCGCTATGTGGCCCTCTGTGACTGGCTTCTTTCCCTGGATGTAAGGTGTCGAGATCCATCTGCATCATGGCGTGCGGTTCATTCCTTTTGTGCAGAGTGGCCTTCCGCTGTAGGGACACGTATGTTGGGTGGCAGTCAGTGTGCCTGCTGGGGACCTCGGTGTACGTACGGACGCGCAGGCGTGCATCCCACACTGGAGCACCGAGCGCACGGGTGTGTTGGAAAGCGTCGGGGGAAGAATGTGGAACCCTCCACCGTTGGTCCCAATCATCCCACTCTTGTGAACACGGCCAAGGAGCAGGAGACACTCCCCTGGACAGAGATGCACATTGAAATAGCATCTCTATGAGCAAAATGCTGGAATCTGTTTGGGGTCCAGCAGCAGGTGGCCATTGGAAGTTTCTGGAAGGTCCTCAGCTCGCCGGCCTCATATGAAGCTGTGACACAAGGTAGCACACAAAATGTTATATGAATTTCCCGGTGATGCGTGAGTGACTCTCACACCAAGAAGGCAGATCTCAGGGGCGCCTGGGTGGCTCAGTCGTTAAGTGTCTGCCTTCGGCTCAGGTCATGATCCCAGGGTCCTGGGATCGAGCCCCACATCGGGCTCCCTGCTCAGCGGGGAGTCTGCTTCTCCCTCTCCCATTCCCCCTGCTTGTATTCCCTCTCTCGCTGTCAAATAAATAAATAAAATCTTTAAAAAAAAAAAAAAGAAGGCAGATCTCAGCGCCGTGTCCATGCTGTGCAGAATGACCAGGGAAACCCGCACAGAGAAAGTGGTGGGCAGGGCTGGGAAGAGGCTGCACCCCAGGGTCCGCCCTGGTATTGGGGCATGGCACCGTTTGTGAAAACCAGTGGACGTGAGGGGTCTCCAGGCAGGCCAGAGCTGGGAGGGGCTCTCAGGGTACATCGGTCTCTGGTGTCCCCGTTCTCAACCTGGCGACTGTCCTTCGAGGGGCCTCCTCAGCCAGAGAGGCCAGCCCTGCCCGGGGTCACACAGCCCTGCTCCCCGAGACTGCAGGAGGCAGCATGGCCTGACAGACCGGCCTCTCCTCCCCTCACCTTTATGGCCAGCCCTGACCCCCTACAGCGACCCAGGGACAAAGGACAGCTGCCCGACCCGGCCACTCACTGGATGCGGTCCCTGTCCAGGGGCTTCTGGTGGCTTCTCAGACATGCTGGCCAGCCCGCACGCCCTGGGTGACCCTGGCTGGTCCAGCCAGCCCTCTCCTGGCCCACCACCTCACCCTGTAAGGCCAGTGGGCAGGGTGGGCCCTAATGCAACAGACAGAAACTCCTCTTGCTCCCCGGTGCTAGCCACTCTCCCCACCCCCACCCTGGGCTTGGGGAGGCCGGGCGCTGCTGACGGTCAGTCTGCCCGGCCCGGCGTGGATGTGCCAAGTGCCAGTGAGCCCCTGGGGGAGGCAGGCCAGTGCCAGGCTGGAGTGCCCGGGAGGGGCAGGGGATGGGAGGACAGGTGCAGCCCAAGCTGTAAATAGGCCCAGTGGCTGCAGGTATAAAAGCTGGAGGCCCCCACAGACTATCAGCACCCCCAGCCTGACCTGCCTCCCCACAGCCCTCGAGCGAAACCAGGCAGAGGTGAGCCTTGCCCAGGGAAGGGTGGTATGGACTCTGGGCCCAGCCAGAGCTGCCCACACTGTGTGGCCAAAGCTTGTGGTCTCATTCTCATCCACAGGACAAGCGGAGGCCCAAGGGGCTGAGGAGACCCCAGGGAGGTCCAGGGGAGGCAGGAAAAGGAGGCAGAAGGGGAAGGGCAGCCCCAAGGGAGCCCCAGTCTTAGAGGCAGCCACGTGCACCTGGGTCTGCAGGGGTGGGCACGTGAGCATGCATGTGCTTATGTGGGCCTCTGAGAGAATGCTAGGATTTGGGGAGCAGGGTGGGGAGGCTGAGACCTGCTCACTGACCTCAGGGCCCCAGGTGCTGACTGGGGGGCCAGGGAGCCTGCTCGGGCAGGGGGTCCAAGGCCAACAGACCCACTGACTCCGGCGGGCACACGAAGTCAGCTCTGGACCCTCTCGGACCCAGTCCCCATCTGCTGGGGCCCCTGCCTCTGTCACCTCCCCCCCCAGCCCCCCAGCCCATGCAGCATTTTTTCTCATATCAGCATCTGAACTTGGGGACTCACCGGCAGATGCTAGAAGAAGAACACAGCCCCCAGGAGGGCTATGCAGGCGGTCCACAGTGGTCTGGGGTGGGGCGACGTCCCTGCCAGCCTTGGGAGGGCATTCAGGGCACAGCAATGCCCGGGACAGGTGGGCTTCTGGGGGGTCTTAGCCAGGTTTTAGAGCTCAGTCCTGCTTTGGCTGTGGAAGGCAGTGAGGCGGGAGGGAGGGAGGGATCCTGTCCAAGGAGAAGGACGAAGTGGGAGCAGCCCAGGAGGCTGGGCAGGGGCGCGCAGGGCACCAGAGGGCTGGCATCGTGTGGTGCCCACAGTCCCCACCCCCCAGCTCTGGTGAGACATGTCGGCTTCCCTCTGGGGGTGAGCGAGACGCCATCCCAGGCCCTGGGTCAGGGCTATAAATAAACCACCAGCAGCCCGAGGCCCCAGGCCCTGCCCCCGCACCAGCTCTGATCTCAGGCTCCCCTGCCTTCCTGTGGGGGGTACCCCTCCTAGAGCAGTGGGGTAGGACTGGGTGGGGAACAGACACAGCCCAGGGCGCCCAGTGCGCTCTGCAGACAGGATGTCGACCCCAGGCTCTGCCAGACCTGGCCTGGAATTTGGCCCAGCCCCTCCTTCATAAAGCTCTGGCAGGGCCCCAAGGGGCAGGCGGGACAACCCCTCTTTCCAGAATGGAGTTCTGAGATTCTGGCATGGGAGAGGGGAACAGGGGCTCAGCTCAGGATGTGGGCTGGTAGGGCCCGTCCTGTGGGCCTCTGTGGCCCAGGTCTGCCCTGGCTCGCCACTCACCACCCCCACCCTGCCTCCCAGGCCAGCCCCCCAGGAGCCGGCTTTCAGGCATGATGCACAGGGGACCCAGCTCCAGGCCCACCTCAGGCCCCAAAGCCCTTTCCGCAGTGTCTCCCTTCCCTCCTGACTCCTCACAAGACCCTGAGAAGGGGCAGGATGGGCAGGGGTCTCCCCATTTCACAGAATAGCTGTGGGGCACGGCCAGGGTCAGGAAGGAGGTCACGGTCCTGGGGCTCTATCCAGCACTCCCTGCACCCCCAGGCTGCCAGGCTTGAGCTGCAAACTTTGACTCGTGGCTTCTCTTTTGGGAGAAAAGGATACTCCCCCAGCCACTGCCCAGCTCCACTCAGGATGCACGGGCCACAGGGCTGCCCTTCCTGGACATGGGAGTATGTTCCAGAACGTTCTGCCACCCCATGAACTTTTGAGAGGGCCAAGGAGCCTCTGAAATAGCTGTTTTGCCACAAGCCCCAGAACCCAACTCCCCCTGGGGACAGCAACCCGAGAGCCCAGCAGGTCACAAGGCACCACCTCGAGGGCCACAGGACAGCCTGGTCCCCACCTGCTGACCCCTCAGCCTGTGACCAGACCCCCACCCTCCTGGCTGGACTCCCGGCCTGCCTCGGACTCTCTGTGAACTGAGGACAGTGACACACACACGTCCATGGGGCCTGTGGGCAGATGCCTGGAAAGGCGGCAGTGGTCCTCCCTGCTCAGAGCATCTGGGCATTGCTCAGTGCAGAGCCAACTCGCTGCAGGTGGTGAACGGCCAGCCGGGAGGCCCAAGGCCTGCTGGTCTGGGGTCTGGGAGAGCAAGGCCCAGGCTGTGGGCCCGGAGTCAGGGTGGAAGGAGGTGGGGCTTCAGGTAACCAAGAAGGCTTCCCAGAGGAGGTGGCTATGAGATGGGCCTGGAAGGACAGAGGGAAGTTCCCTGGCGGTGTTGAAGGGTCAGAGGGCGGCCACCACCTCTTCTGAGCAGAGTGAAGGACCCCAAGCTCATCACTTGCTGTCTGGGGGCCTCAGCCTCTTCTGTGAGATGGAAGTGGTACTCAAGGTGGCCAGCCGGCAAGAGGTGGGGTCTCGGGCGCATCTTCCCCCAGGGCCCTGGACACAGGAGTCTCTGCAAGGCCAGCCACCCCAAGGGCCTCTGCACCCTGGGGACCCTGCTCGGGAGGCAGGAGTTGGTGCCTTGCGGGGACTGTGTCTGTTAGAGTTAGGGTTAGGGGTAGGATTAGGGGTAGGCAGAGTGCCCCCACCCTGCCTGTGTGCACCCACCGAGCTGGCTCCTGTCCACCGCAGGGCCAGGATGGACGAGGACTTCTCCTCTCAGATGAAGAAGATGGCCTTGGCTATGGGCACATCCCTGTCGGACAAGGACATAGAGATGCTGCCCACAGACATGAGGCATCACGGTATATAGCACACCCCTCATCCCCAGCATGGCCTCCCTGCCCCGGGCCCGGCCCAGCCATGGCCAAGGAAGCAGTGGACACCGGAGCCCATCTGCGGGCTCCCCCTTCCCTGGGCTGAGCGGCGTGGGACACATGGGGTGGGGGAGGGGAAGAGCAGGCCACGGCAGTCCCCACCCCAGGGCAGAAGCCTCCCTCAGGCCCCCGTGACCTGCGCCTGGCTGTCCCAGGCTCCTTCAACTACCTCAAGTTCCTGGAGTACATGCAGAAGTTCCAGGCCTCGGGGCAGCTGGACAGCGCCATCCGCCAGGCCTTCCAGACCCTGGACAAAGACAAGAGTGGTTTCATCGAGTGGAATGAGATCAAGTAATGGCCAGTGGCTGGGGATCGGGGTCCTGAGCCTGGGGCCTAGGGCCCAGTCCACAACAACCACGCCCACCCCAGTAGAAGACCTGGTGCCCCTCCCCCCGCCCAGTGGGCCCCAGCTGGCCTCTCGGGAGGTGAGGCCGGCCGGAAACAGTCCAGGTCCACAGCACTGGGGCCAGGCCCAGAGACCCCTCTCCAGCAGGCCTCAGTTTCCCTACCTGTAAAATGGGGAGTGAGCACCTTGCAAACCATTGGGCACCAGCCAGACACCCCTCGGCTCTGACCGGAGCCCACCCCTGGCCCCAGGTACATCCTATCCACCATTCCCAGCAGCGGGCCCACCGCCCCGCTGACAGACGAGGAGGCAGAGGCCATGATCCAGGCGGCCGACACGGATGGGGACGGGAGGATTGACTTCGAAGGTGGGTCAGCACAGACAACGGGGCCAGAGGTCCCTCTCGGGTCTTCCCAGCCCCCCCTCCGGGACCCCACAGCACCGTTAAGTGCCCATGTGGGCACAGCACTGAGTAGGCTCCCTGACCCCAGGCATGCAGTTCATAGCCGTCTTTGCTGGGTAACTGTTCCCCCCTCCAGAGATGGGAAAGCAAGTGTTGGGGATGCTGAGCGGGCAGCTGGCAGGGAGCCGCTGTGGGTTTCTGAGTGGGGGAGAGGTGGGTGGAGATGGCCATGGGGAGACTCGGCTGGATGGGAGCAGAGGTCCGAGGCTCCCTGGACAGAGAGAGTGGTCTGAGGTGGGGAGGGAGGTTTGAAGAAAGGAACCAGGCCTGAGGCCCTCCATGGCTACCCTGGGGTCTAGAAATCTGTCTCCTATTCTAGAATTTTCTGAATTGATCAAAAAGGAGAAAGTGCCAAAGAAGAAGTAGTGTACACCCAGCCCCGGGCCGGGGGAGGGTACCCCACGCGGCATCGTGGACATCTGCGTGGCCGACCAAGGAGGCCATGGGGGTGGACACAGCACATGCCAGGAAAATGGAAGAACGGCATCATTAAATGAACAATGTAGCCCGAGTGTTTCTTGGGGGCAGTGTGTGAGCGGGGGTGGGGGTGGGGCCGGTGTGTGGGGGTGCACAGGGGGAAATGGGAGGCTAGGCAGGTGGATGCAGCCAGCCCCTGCCCCCTCTGCCTCCCCCTTGTCCCCATGTCATGGGGGGCACCTGCAGAGGGGGTCCCCCTCGCCGGCTCTCGCCCCTCCCAGCACAGTGCTCTCTGTGCCTAGACCCCCGCAGGACCCCCTTCCCCAGCCGGGCTCTGCTAGGCTGCCCTGGGCTCACACAGCAGCCACGTGAACACAGAGCGGGGATACCTGCGACCCTGGGGTACAGCCAAGGGGGCCCTGGCACGTGCCCTGGGCCGTGCCCTCTGGGTCAGTCCTCTGCCTGCCTGCTTGCCTTCTTCCTCCTCTTAATGCCCCACTTCTCCCTCCCTGAGCTGGTGCCTCTGCTCCCCCCGGCGCTTGCCCTCCTGGTGGGCTCCCGTCCCGTGGTTTAAGTACCATGTGTGGGCCAGGGCCCCCATCCCACCTCTCTCCTGTGCTCCCGACTCCTGTGCCCGTCTGGGCTTCCTGACACCCCGTTTCATGTGAAAAAGGCATCTCAAACTTAGAGCGTGAGGCTGAGCTCTGATTCTCCCTCCGTGAAGTCCGGCCACCCGCCCCTTCCTATCTGTTAGCGCCGCGTCACTCCTGGGGCTGATCTGGCTAGGAGCCTTGCGGCCACATGCACCCTTGGCCACATTCCCCCTCCATCCTGGGGACTGGTCCCGGGGAGAGCCCTGGGCTCCCTTCAGAGCCCCCCATGTCCACAAGTGGGGGGCGAGTGTCACTCGTGGTGGGAGTGGGTTTCCTCTTCCAGCTGCTCCGGGGGACTCTACAGCCTCTAGGAAAGAGGGGCCAAGGGGGCTGGACCACGCAGAAGTGAAGGCGCTGCCCCTCACGAGCACCCTCGCGGGGCCATGGCAGAGTGAGGCCCATCTCACATATCACCCTCCCCTCCTCTCCTCGCCCGCCTTTGTGGGAATCTCAGTGGCCCTGCCCTCAGAAATCACCCAGGGCCCCCCTCCCTGCCACCATCCTGGCCACCACCCCCTCTTGCCTGGGTGACCACCATAGCTCCTGGATTGGCCTCCCTGCCTCTACCCTCTGACAGTTGGTTCTCAACACAGCAGTGGAGAGGTCCTTTAAAAATAGAAGTCAGATCTGGGGCGCCCGGATGGCTCAGTCAGTGGAGCATGTGACTCTTGATCTCGAGGTTGTGAGTTTAAGCCCCATGGTGGGCATAGAGCTTACTGAAAAAAAAAAAAAAAGTCCAATCCATCACTCCACTCAGAACCCTCTAGAGGCTCCCCTGTCAAGCCAAGTCCTTGGAGCACCCACATGTCTTGTTCCCCACCAGGCCCCGACTTCAGCCACATTGCTCCCTCTCTGCTCCTTTTGCACGGCCGTTCCCGCCTGGCATGCTCTTCCTTAGATTTATATCTGCGTGGCTAACTCCCTTGTCTCCCTCAAATTTCCTCAAATGCCACATACCAAAGAAATCAATCCTAACCCACCTTATTGCATATCACACTTGCCCTGGCCACGCGTTCTGCATCTCCTTGCCCTGGTATCTTTCCTCATGGTACTCACCATCCCCTAATATACTATAATATTCATTTATTTATAATGTTTATTATGAGCAAAAAGAGCGTCAAGGACATGGGGTCTGAGATCCCAGGGAAGAAAGGCTTTGAGAGATGAGCCTGAGGTTGTCACAGGTTTCCCATCAGGTGTTGGTAACTGTGGCCAAGAGGCTGAGAGCTGAGGAGGGCACCCAGCGGCCTCCTGGGTGTTTGGCATCTGCCAGGGAGGAGGAGGAGGGGCTTGGCTTGGGGCTCTAAGGGGTTAGAAGTGAGGAGTGAGGACAGGAGAACCAAGCCAGTCCTCACAGAGACTGGAGTCTGGCCTCAGCTAGCCCAATTCCTCTCCTCACTGCCCCTCAGAGCAGAAGAAATCCCTCTGGACCAGGGGCCAAATATAGCTCAGTGCAGGCCAGATTCGGCCATGCCCATTTATTTGCATTTTATCTGTGGCTGTTTTCAAGTTATGCTTAACTGGAATGCCACGGAAAGCCTGAAAGTAAAAATAATCGCAGAGATATACCACACAAACACTATGGTGAGAAAGCTGGTGCAGCTACTACTATCTGATGAAAGAGACCATAAGGCAAGAGGTCCTGCTAGACAAAGAAGGCCATTTCATAAAGATGAAGGGTCAGTTCACTAGGAAAACACACAGTTCCAAATATGTACGCACCCACTAACATAGCCTCAGAATTCGTAAAGCAAAAATGAGCCAACTAGAATGAGAAAGAGACGATGCACAATCGCAGTGGCAGATTTTAGCATTCTTCTTGGGAACCGACAGAGCAAGGAGGAAAAAAATCAGTAAGGATACAGGAGACTAGAAACACAATGAATTAACTCAACTCAAATGATAAAGATCAACTCTGCTTCCAACAACTGCATTCTCTTTAAGTCAACAGATAGAGAGTTTACCAAATTTGACCACATTCTGGCCATAAAGCAAATCTCAATCGAATCAGAGTTGAAATAACGTAGAACATATTTTCTGACCATAGGTAAACCAAGCTAGAAACCATAAACCAAAAAGATAAGAAAAGCAATGCATGCGAAACCACCCACAGTTCACAGAAACCACCATGGAAATTAGAAAATATTTTGAAGGGCGCCTGGGTGGCTCAGACAGTTAAGCGTCTGCCTTCGGCTCAGGTCATGATCCCAGGGTCCTGGGATCGAGTCCCGCATCGGGCTCCCTGC